CTGCGGGGAAGGGGGGCGGGAGAGTGAGATACGGGCGGGCCAGTTCGGGAGGCTGGCGGAGGGGTGGGGGGAGGTTCGGGGGTGGCTGAGGAGAGGGGAAGGGGGATAAGGGGGGGAGGTTCGGGGGTGGCTGAGGAGAGGGGAAGGGGGATAAGGGGGGAGGTTCGGGGGTGGCTGAGGAGAGGGAGGGGATAAGGGGTGGGGGAGCGTGGGGATGGAAGTCAGTTTTAGAAGCTTGCTGGTGGTGGTGGTGGAGGAGAAGGAAGAAGGGGGTTGAAAGGGAGGTAGTGGTGGTGAAGGAGTGGAGGAGGAAGAAGGGGTTGAAGGGTGAAAGAAGGGGAGGAGGAGAGGAGGAGAAGGATGAAGAAGAAGAGGAGCTGCACCAGCAGGAAGGTTGAGGAGGAGGAAGAGTAGGATAAAGATGAAGAGTATATATATATATATATATATATATATATATATATATATATATATATATATATTATATAATATATAAATGCTAACAACAATGCGAAAATATTCAATCAGAATAACCCCCTTCCCGAAAATTTTGAAAACGTGAGAAGAGGATCTTTTTTAATGCCACGCACACGCGTGAAAAAAAAATATATGTATAAAACAAAAACGCATACCATATTAATGAATATATCAGGAGAAATAAACATTCTGATAAATGCCACAAATTAATAAATATCAAGCCACAAATCACATAAAAAAATAACCACATGAACCTCTGAATGTCACCTTCAAGGAATAATCTACCCAGTATCTGTTTTTTTTTCGCTAACCGAAAAAAAAAAAATCGAGCAAAATCACGTTCACTTTGACTACAGAAAAAAAGAAATAAAAACTAAGTTAACACGGAACATAGACAGAGGGAAAATATAAGATCTTTGACTATTCTTTTTTCACTTATTGGCTACCTCTGTGACTGCCAGTATTTTCTGATATTGTTATTCACATACAGTATATGAGTGAGGGGAGTAGCATACATATACACACTGCTATTCATATCAACCTACATACGTTGATACACACACGCACACACATAAGAAACACATAATTTGCCTCTTCCAAGCTATCAAATAAATTTCCGTATATAAAAAAGTATATCTCAAAAAATAATTAAATAAACACAACAAAAACTAAAAACGAAATATATAAATAAAATCAAATAATCATAAATCCAAATACTACTGATTTTTTAATTGAAAATCACCATAATATACAGAGAGCGTCCTTTTAAACTTGCACTGAAAATATAACCACCAGCAGTTACGTCACACATCCGTATTCGCGCAACACACACCAACTCAAGGCCACACTCGTTATATAAGAAACATTAATAAAAAAAAAAATCCAAAAAAGAACCCGGAACGCTTAATAAAACAGAAAAAAAAGGACATAAAAAGGGTCCAAAAGTACATATGCCAAGACCGATCCAGTAGAGAATAAAAAAAGAGGAGCTATAAATAAAACGAAAAGAAGTGGAACCCCCGTAAGGAAGACATTAAAAATACCAGCGAGGACAAAAGGGCATTCGAACACCGCGACAACCTCTCCACATTGTCCTTATTTCCCTCATAACGACCTCTCTCCTTATTAAATCCCTCGTTTATATATCTTATTTCAATCAAGATCTATAATATTTGCATTTCCTTCCAGTTGTGAATTTTATTTCTTAATCTAGTCTCGCATTTTTGGTTCAGACTCGAAATATTGGAGCTAAAGGATAAAGGATAAAATCTCGTGTTTCACGTGATTCGGCGAGAGTGCAACAACTGCAGTGTGTGTGTATGTTTGCGTAGTCCGGCATGCAAAGTTCGTGACACAAAGAACGTCTCTATTTTAAAGGGTAAATATAGATACGAAGCCGGAGCGATGTAAGTCACTGAATCACGTGTTAGAATACGTACACATAAACCCCGCACCCCCCAACACACACACACACCACACACACACCACACACACAAACACGAATCCCCGAGTCCATGTTTTACTCCCTTACAGCATAAAGAATCCATCCATGCAGGCTTGTTGATGTGACCTACTTAGCCTATATCGGACAGGTTACTAGCGAATACTGACGTCAAGAAAAATGTCTCTGCTGATGCCTCCACCTGCTTCCTCTTGGAAATAGGCAAATGGACGTACTGAAGGAGAGAGAAAGAGAGAGAGAGAGAGAGAGAGAGAGAGAGAGAGAGAGAGAGAGAGAGAGAGAGAGAGAGAGAGAGAGAGAGAGAGAGGAGAGAGAGAGAGAGAGAGAGAGAGAGAGAGAGAGAGAGAGAGAGAGAGAGAGAGAGAGAGAGAGAGAGAAGGAGAAAGAGAGAAAAGAGAGAAAAAGGAGAAGAGAGAGAGAGAGAGAGAGAGAGAGAGAGAGAGAGAGAGAGAGAGAGAGAGAGAGAGAGAGAGAGAGAGAGAGAGAGAGAGAGGAGAGAGAGAGAGAGAGAGAAGAGAGAGAGAGAGAGAGAAAGAGAGAGAGAGAGAAGAGAGAGAGAAGAGAAGAGAGAGAGACGACAAGAACAGAGAAAGAAAAGTAAAAAGAAAAAGAAAAAAAGAGAGAGACCAAAAAGACCAACCCAGAAACTCAAATACCAAATTCCCCCCCCCCCCCTTTTCTTAGGCCACCAATCAACCTTCCCTTACACACCTATGGCCCATTCTCTCCCCGGCCATGTCACGTGACCCGGCCGACCCCTCGTAGACCTGGCCAGAGACGCGACGGAGCCACCTGGACGTGCCTCGTGGCCGGTTAGGTCTGGTCGAGGGGCACGGGGTCGATATTCGGTTCATTTACGGATCGTAAAACGTGTTCGGCTGGACGGTGGCACGATTTGTCTTCGCTGCCTTTTTCTTTTTTCTTTGTTCTCTCTCTCTCTCTGTTTCTGCCTCTTTCTCGTGTCTGTCTCTGTCTCCCATTTTCTCCCTTTCCCTCCCTCTCCTTTCCTTTCCTTCAAGCACTCCCTCACTCATTCTCCTCCATAAGGTCTTCTTCTTTCCGTTTTCCCTCTCCCTCTCTCTCTCTTCTACACAAAACCAGAGGACAAGCCCATTCCCAAAAGAGGCGCTCGGAAGCACTCGTCAAAAAAGTAAAAAAAAGAAAAAAAAGTAAAATAATAATAATAATAATAATAATAATAATAAAGTCCGCTTCTGAACCAACGGAATAATGAACAGGTGTCTCGTTATCCCCCACCCCCCTCCCCACCCGTCCGAACAGGTGTAACCTTTTATTCAAGGGACAGGTGTTCGCAGGGTCACCATCTCCCGAGAAATTCTCACTATCGCTGCGTCACCAAGATGAATTGACGGACAGTATTGTGATGGTGAAGATGATGATGGTAATTCTTGAAATAGTATTGATTACAATCGCTTTGTTAAGAGTACTGCCAATAAGCTGAAAGGAAGGAAGGAAGAAAGAAAGAAAAAAGGAAGAAAAGAAAAAAGGAACAGAAAAGTGAAAAACACAAATTACAAAATATATCGCATGCACGTACACACACACGCACACACACACACACACACCAAACAAAAGAACAGACACGAAGTCTAACAATTAAGCGCAAAGCGAAATATAAACACATGAACACTTCTTTGTATTCCGTCCCTGTTTCCTGTGCTGGAATTAACCCTCGTATCGCTCTATGCGAGTGGGGGAGGGGAAATGGGGAGAGGGGAGAGGGGGAGCAGAGGAGTGAAGGGGAGAAGGGGGAGAGGGGTTAGGAGGAACAGAGGAGTGAAGGGGAAAGGGGGGGATGGGAGAGGGAGAGGGGATATGGGAAGGGGGAGGAAGGGAAGGGGATAAGGGAGGGGGAAAGGGAGAGGGGATATGGGAGGGGAGGAAGGGAGAGGGGATATGGGAGGGGGGAAGAAGGGAGAGGGGATATGGGGAGGGGGAGGGGAGACGGAGGGACAGGGAGTATGGAGGAGGAAGGGGAATGAGGTAATTATCAGTGCCCGTTAGCAATTATATTGCATAACACTCAATCGCACGTAATCTCCCAGTCCTGCTGATTCTCTTTTGTCTGTCAAGTCTCTCTCTCTCTCTCTCTCTGCTTGTCTGTCTGTCTCTCATTCTCCTTGACTCTCTTTCACTCTTATTCCCTGTCTCTCTCTCCCTCTCTCACTCTGCTTGTCTGTCTGTCTGCCTGTCTCTCTCTCTCTCTCTCCTTGACTTTCTTTCCCTCTTAAACACTGTCTATCGAGTTGTCTGTCTGTCTCTATTCCTCTCTCCCTCCCCCTCCACTCTCCCAAACCTCTTCGAAAATATCTATCAATCTCCGAGTCCATCAATGCGTCTCACCCACTTCCCTCTTCCTCCTCTTCTCCGTGGTCGATAATCGTGAATAACCCCCCCCCCCACCTTCACCCCCGCCCCCACCCCCAACCTCAGCCTACTACCGTACATCACGAAAGGTCAGCGTTTTTTTTTTCTTTTTTGTTGTTGTTGTTCTTCTTCTTCTTTCTTCTCTTAAAGCTCGGAGACGCTTCATCGAAAGACCTTTCTTTGCCCTGAAGTTTTTTTTTCCAAATAAAATGACAGAGAGATATGGATATTTCAGATTTGTGGAGGAGGAAGTGGAAGAGGAAGAAGAGGAGGAGGCGAAGGAAGAGGTATGGGAAGAAAAACGAGAAGAAGAGGAATGGGAAGAGAAGCGAGAAGAAGAGGCGAAGGAAGAGAAATGGAAAGAGAAACCAGACGAAGAAGAAGAGGAGGCCAAAGAATTAGAATGGGACGAGAAGGAAGAGATGGAAGAAGAAAAATACGAAAAAGAAAAGAAGAAAAAAAGAGAACCTGGACAAGTATTACCTATAATAGGTCAGGCAAATGAGAGCTGAGCTGCCTTCATTGTGACAAATGCAGAAGAGGCATGAAAGAGAATGAATATCTTCACAATCCAAGAGACGAATTTAACCGGTTTCGAAAAGATCTTCGTCTGAAATGCACGAATAACCGGTTTCCATTATATATATATATATATATATATATATATATATAT